CTTCTCGTGGGGTAGTGACTTAGAGACCTGAGAAGCAGTAGATGGAGGGAAAGGCACCGTGTTTGAGACCGACCCGGATGCAGATAGATACGTAGGCCTCAGATTCCCCGCTTACAAAATGGGACTCATGTTGGTACTCACCAGCCGGGTTGTCATGCGGTGACGCATCTGAAATGCAAGTGTCACAGCTCTGCCAACGCCGGCGGCCTTTCTCTTTCCCCCAGTTCTCCCAGCTCCCTCCCCCAACCCTTCGGATTTTGTTCTTGGCTCTGCCCAGGAGTGACCCCCGCTCCAAGCTGTCCCTTCCTCTCTAGGCCGCAGTTTGGCCTCCCCCATCACCATGGAGCATCCCCAGGCCAGGGCTCTAGAATCTAGATAGATACAGCTTCTGGCTCACTACCCTGGGGACCCTCAGTCACCTGCCAGGAGCCGGGAGTGGGGGATGGGGGTGGGGGTGGGGTGCTGGGGCCTGTGTGAGACTCAGGCAGGTTCGGCGGGCCTGCGTGTGGTCCGTCTGTGCGGAGGCCCTCACTCTCCCAGGGACCTGCTGGCTCACGGGAGAGAAATGAAGATAATTAAAGCATAGCGATTAATCACAAAAACAATCTGTAATTATATGTGTTTTCCGATGGTCTTAGGCGACCCCTGTGAAAGGGTCATTCAACCCCCAAAGGGGTCGCGGCCCACAGGTTGAGAACCGCTGGTTTAGGAGGTAGAGGCAGCAGCTTCTTTAGTTTCCGACTCTCCTCGAGTCCCAGACAAAGACCTTTTGTCAGTGAAGACGCCTCTGTGTGTCCTTGGGATCTGTAAGAGTGAGGCGATGGTGTCCGAGGATCCCCGGCAGCGCCAGCTCGGGGGTGGGCCGTGTTCCTTCGTGGGAAATAGAGGAGTCGGAGCAACGGGCTGGTGAGCCCGTCCCAGTCACCCCACCGCTTGCCTCTTAGCGAGGCAGCGAGACAGGTCAGCATGTCTGGGCTTCCCAGCGGCAGAGCGTGGCTTCTGTCCCGGGCCTCATTCCGCGGCGTGCGGTTCGGTGCACGCTCTCCCCGGGGGAGTCCCGGGAAGCGGGGGATGGAAACGGGCCCTTCGCCCAGCCCGCAGCCAGCGCGTCAAGCACAGGCCTGCTCAGGTTCCCCGTGGGCAGCTGTATGCAATGGGCCCCTCACTACCGCCAGCACCTGGGCCCTGCTCGCTGCTGTCCTGCCTTGTTGGGTGACGCCACGCCGTCCAGCCACCAGAACACGTGGCGGCAGCAATCAGACAGGGTGGGCAGGCCTTGGACGCACTATACCATGCAACTCGGAATGGTCACTCATTCATTAAAAGATCCTCCAACTCACACGTACTCCGTGCTTCAACTCCAGAGATAAAGGCTGACCTCACCTGTGGGCAGCTTGTAGGAAAGGCAGGCGTGGAGAGAAGTCTAAAAGCCAAATGAATCACCAGGAGTGTGCGGCTCGTGGGGCGGGAGAAGCCCAGGGGGTGACGGGAGTGTAACCGGGGTTTCAGGGAGGCAAGGACCGCGAAGCTGAGGCCCGAGGCACGGGAAGGGGAGGCAGCTTCTGAATGGAAGAGGCAGACAAGCACCGGGCGAGTTCAGAAACCGAGAGAAGCTGAGCCGGGCTGGAGAGGGCAGGGGAAGGGAGGTGGTGTGTGTGTGTAACTGCAGGCCGAATCCAAGGACCTAACGAGCATCCCTCCAACATGTCATCGGGGGCCCAGGCTCCAACCAGCTCTTCCCGCCGCCATCCTTAGGCTGGGGCTCTTGTCCTCATGCTCACAGGATGGCTGCCGGAGCTCCATCCATCACACCTCCATTCCAGGCAGGGATAAGAAGGGCAAAGGCAAGAGGCCCAAGCAGTCAACTTTGACCTCTTTCAAAAGGCGCCACTGGAACCTTCCGTTTATCTCATTGGCCAGCCCCTGCCCCATGTCACATGTGTCGCACGTAACCCATCCAGGGGATGAGGTTTCTAGCTGGCTCCGTTGCTGCTGCTCCAGAATCCATGTTCTGCTCGTGAAGAAGTGGAGGGGGAATGGAGGTGGGTAGGCAACATCCGGGCTGCCCCGCCAGGCCTAGTGAGTCGTGGTGCGGAGTGTGGCCTTCAGTCTGAGAGCAGCTGGGCAGACACAGGGCAGTCACACTGAACGGGGAGATGGCTCGGGGCCACCCCACTTGAGCCACAGCCACACCCCGTGGGCAAATGCCTTTGTTTCCAAATGACCAGACTGGGTGGCTGACAACAGCAGCAATGTATTCTCACAGCCTTGGGGGCCAGGAGTCTGAATCGAGCCGCCAGCCAGGCCATGGTCCCTCTCGGGTTTCAGGGACGAGTCCTTCCTTGCGTCTCGTAGCTTCTGGTGGCTCCTGGCACCCCTGGGTGTTCCTTGGCTCATAAGCTGCCTCACCCCGATTTCTGTCTCTGTTGTCACATGGACTTCTTCCCCGTGTGGCCTCTGTGGCTCTGTAAACAAGTCTCCCTCTCCTTCCTCTTATGAGGACATCCATCATTGGAATTGGGGCCTGCTGAGACTCTATTTCCAAATAAGGTCACAGTCGCAGGTACGGGGTTGGGGCTGGAACATCCATCCGTCTTTGTGAGACACAGTGTGTCTGAGGAGAGCACACAGGAGTGGCCCCTAGACGCGGCTTTGCTCTGCTGGGCCGCCCATTTCCCCTTGTCCACAGCCATGAAAAGGTGCCCAGGAATTAGGGAGACGGTTTATTTCCAACATTTCAACCCAATGCCACGCACCGATCCCTTCTTCTCTTATAAAAGGGCAGAAGGGCCCAGCTGGCGTGGCTCAGTGGTTGAGCATCGACCTAGGCACCAGGTCAACGATTCAAAATTGAAAGCAGTAATGTTGTTTTTTAAATGGTCTGGCCAATGTGGCTCAGTAGTTGACCACTGACCTATGAACCAGGAGGTCACAGTTCAATTTCAGGTCAGGGCACGTGTTGGGGTTGCATACTCCATCCAATTTCCAGTCAGAGGCATGCAGGAGGCAGCCGATCAATGATTCTCTGTCACCACTGATGTTCTCTCTTTCCCTTCCCCTCTGAAATCTACATATATTTAAAACAAAAATAAGAGGTTGCTGGTTCAATTCCCGGTCATGGCACATGCCCGGGCTTGGGGCTCGATCCCCGTAGAGGGCGTGCAGAAGGCAGCTGATAGATGATGCTTCTCATTGATGTTTCTCTCTATCCCCTTCCTCTCTCAAAATTAATAAAAACATTTTTAAAAAGGTGAAGTTTAAGCTGAGCATTAAAGAAACAGGAATTGACCAGGGGGAGAAGGCAAGGAAAGTCATTTCAGGCAGAAGGATCAGCATGTGCAAAGGCCTGAGTGACCACTGGTGGCCCGAGACTGTCCGAGGACCTGGTCTGGTGGGTGGGGGCACAAGGATGCCCAGGGGAAGGAGAGGAGAGAGAAGGGAAGCCAGGGAGAATGCAGAGCTGGCTACTGATGCGGCCTTGCATGCCAGGCTGAGGTTTGGGTTCTGTCACGAGGGCAGTGGGAGTCCCAGTGGCTTGTGAGCAGAGCGATGTGGTTTTAAACATTTTAGATTTATTTGATGGACGTGAAACCAGGCAATGGTGGTGTGAAATCTACCTCCCATCCCCACCCCCCACCCCCATCTACACGTGTCTACTGCTCATCTTCCCCAGCTCTGCCCGACCCAGATTCCCAGAGTGTCACTTGTCAGAAGAGCAGATCCTCCCTGCTGGGGGGTGGGGAGAGCAGGCATCCCGCCCCTGCTCATGCTGGGCCCAGGGCAAGGGCTGGCTGGGCAGCTGGCAGCTGGCAGAGCGAACGTGGTCTGCTCTGCTGTGTCTGCAGCCGCTGCCGCTGGGCAGCCTGATCGATGACCCACGACGCCCGGGGCTCCTCACGGGTCAGCAGCCCCATCTCCGTGGCAGCTGCCAAGTGAACCTGCCCGCTCTGCCTCCGTTTCTCCTAAGGCTGCCCGCCCCCACCCCCGCCTGCTGAAATGCTGTGGCATCGCCCCTCTCTGCCCACCATTTCCCGGCCTCTGCGATCCTGGCGCTGAACACTCCTGTGCGGGACAAGCCTTGCCGAAGTCACGCCCGGCGGCGGTGTTCTGGCTCGTTCTTTATTCTGTCCGCACTGGGCACAGAGTGGGGGTTAGAGGTTCTTCCTGCTTCTCCCCCTTTCTCAGCCCTGTCGTGACTGCAGCATGGGCCCTGTGTCATCCCTCGGCTAGAGGGTCTGTGTCTGTGTGTTCTGTTTGCAAAAGTCCCACCTCCTCCCTCAGCCTAGCAATTCCCCAAGATCAAGGGCCTGCCTCCATCTTTAGACTGGCAGCTTCTAAGATGCAGTGTTTTCTTCTCCCTTAAAAAGGCTACTCCCCAACCCAGCTGGCGTGGCTCAGTGGTTGAGCATCGACCTAGGAACCAGGAGGTCATGGTTCGATTCCCGGTCAGGGCACATGCCCAGGTTGCAGGCTCAATCCCCAGTGTGGTGCGTGCAGGAGGCAGCCGTTCAATGATTCTCTTATCATTGATGTTTCTATCTCTCCATCTCCCTTCCTCTCCCCCCCAACTATATATATGCTACTTCCCAGAGCAGGGGAGCTCTCCCCCCAAGTCTGGGAGCTCCCTGAAGAGGAGGGCTCTGTTTGGGGCTGCTCTGTCTCTTTGGTGCCTCAAGCCCAGCTCTGCGTTACGGGGACTCGGGCTGCAGAAGCCTCCTGGCCTCTCTGGGAATGGCAGGCGGAGCGTGAGGACACAGGTGTGGGTCTGGCTGGGGCTGGAGCCGCATGGGCACAGCTGGAGGCCAAGTACTAAGCTTTGGGGGCCCAGGGAAGTCCAGGGGCTACCAGGTCTATGCCAGCCACCTGGGCCACCGGTCCAGCTTCCTGGGAGGACCAGGATTTCTTAAGTCCAGTGGTCTGGGCCGGGGGGGCACAGAGGGTGGCTCCTGGCAGGCCTGACCCCTCATGCCTCCGGTGGGCTCTGTCTTGGGTGGTGACAGGAGGACAACCACAGCTACTATGTGTCTCGTCTGTACGGCCCCAGCGAGCCTCGCAGCCGGGAGCTGTGGGTGGACGTGGCCAAGGCCAACCGGAGCCACGTGAAGGTCCACAGAATCCTCTCCAACACCCACCGGCAGGCTTCGGTGAGTGCCCAGTTCCTGGCAGCGCTGCCCTGGGCCAGGAGGCTGGGGACCAACCCAAACTGCCTGGTCAATGGGCATGGCCTAGAGGGTCTGTGATCTGGGAGGTGCCTTCTGGGGGTTTCTGGGTGGTTTGGCCTGAGTTGGGGTGCCCACCTGGGGTCTGGCAGCCTGCCCCCAGCCCTGTCCAGACAAGCATTGAGTAGTGTAGATGCCCAGCCCCCTGGCCCGTAGCCTGGGCCCTGCTGACTCTCTCCCATCCCCCGCAGAGAGTGGTCTTGTCCTTTGATTTCCCCTTCTACGGGCATCCTCTGCGGCAGATCACCATAGCAACCGGAGGTAAGGCTGTGCCAGGGCTGGGGGAGGATCTGGAGCTCCCAGCTGGAACTTGGGGGCCCTACCTGAGGAGGGTCGTTGGAGATGGAATGGAGAGGGACCCACCTTTGGCTGTCCTGGGAGCCCACTCTAGGAGGGAGGTCAGGGATTGTCTGAATACCTCTGTCTCATCAGCGGACTTGTTCGTGTGTGTGTGTGTGTGTGTGTGTGTGTGTGTGTGTGTGTCTGTCCCTCTGGGCCAGCTCAAGCAGGTGTGGGCAGTCCCCGTCGTCCCTGTGTTTGAGTCTGTGATTGGGAGGGGAAGGGAGGCGGCACTGAGCGGGGGCCCATCTTTGATTCCTGTGCGTGTTCCCAGGGAAAGGAAAAGGGGGGATTTGTGCCTCCCGAGGGGCAGGGAGGACCTTCTCTGGCCTGGGACCCTTTTGCTTCGTACACACCTGACCCTGAGCCCACCCGTTGGGCCGAGGGGACAGAGGTTCAAGCCTTGCCTGCCTGCACTGCCCCTTCCTGCCCTTGGGGGACGAGCATAGAAGCGCCCCTCTGGGCCATCTCCGGTGGGTCCCCTGCGCTTCTCCCCTCCAGGCTTCATCTTCACTGGTGACGTGACCCATCGGATGCTCACGGCGACTCAGTACGTGGCCCCGCTGATGGCCAACTTCAACCCCGGCTACTCCGACAACTCCACAGTTGCTTACTTTGACAATGGTGAGGGCGGATGGCAGAGTTTAAGTCCCCTCGCACCAGGGCTCCCCAGGCCCAGCCCCGTTAGAGGCGTGCAAGGCCCAGGGAGGGCAAGGGGGCTTGGCACAGTCACACAGCAAGGCAGCCACCCCACCTTTCTGCACTGTTTCCTCGCCTGTAAGCTGGCGGCAGGATGCCGGCTCCTAGCAGGATCTGAGGAGATAGCGAGATGGCTCTGCGTAGAGGTGAACCAAATACTAGGGACCTTCATTGTTTCTTATTCTCGCCACGTTGTCCCCCAAACACCCACCCTCCCATCCCAGAACTGGCATCCCTTCTATTGCTTCTCCTTTTCATCTCAAGCGTCAGGATAGGCAGGCAGGCAGGAGGGGCGTGCCTGGGGTGAGAGATGCTCAGGCAGGGTATCTGGGGCTGAAATAGGCTGTTCTGGTTCCGCCCCAGCGAGGGAGCCAGGCTGATGTTGGTGGGTTGCCCAGCTCCTGCCTTCAGTCAAATTTGCAAACTGCCCCCATCGTCCCTACGGGGCCCGACCCCTGGCAATCCACGCAGGCCACGGTTCCTGCAGCGCCCCCCCTGCACCACCTCCCCGACAGCCAGGTCTCTGCTGCTCTCCACAGGGACAGTCTTTGTTGTTCAGTGGGACCATGTCTACCTCCAAGGCCGGGAGGACAGGGGCAGCTTCACCTTCCAGGCGGCTCTGCACCGTGACGGCCGCATTGTGTTTGGCTACAAAGAGGTGAGTGAGAGATGCCTGGGTCTCGGGGAGCTTTTCCCCCCGTTCAGCAAGCACTTGTAGGGAATCTGAACTGTGCCTGGCAGAGGGCGTGGTGCTGGGGATACGCAGTTCGTAAGATGGTTGTGACCCCTGCCCTGGTAGAGGGTAAGTCTTGTTGAGACAATGGACAGCAATTGCAGAGACACATGTAGAATTGCCACGGTAACAAGTGCTCCTAAGTAGAGGTGCCTGGTGCCATGGGAGCCTGTCTTGGGGCTCTTTCTCTCAGTGGGGGCCGGAGAGGCTCCCTCAGGAAAAGAGTTAAAATCTGCAGGATGCATAGGAGTTAAGGAAGCGAAGAGGAGAGTGAGGTGTGTTCCAGGAGGAAGAAAAGCACGTGCAAAGGTCCTGTGACAGGATGGATCCGGGCTGGTACACAGCACTGCGAGAGGCAGCATGGCCGGAGGGGAGCGAGTGAGGGGCAAGACAGGGCAAGGGCACACCCGATTTGCCCTCCACAAAGGTCACTCTGGCTTCTGAGCGGAGAACAGATTGTTGGGGGCTCAGAGGGAATGCTGGGGGATGAGCTAGGAAAGAGATGTTGCCAACTTGGAGTCTGGTGGGGGACGGTTGAGAGAACTAGCCAGATTTGAGAGCCAGTTAGCTGGTTAATTAACAGGATTTAGAGATGTATTAGATGGAAGGGCGGGGTGATGGGGGGATGAAGAAAAGGGAAGGGCAGGGGTGACTCCCAGGCCTGTGTGGAGATGCCATTCATGAAGATGGAGTGTAGAGCAAGGACATGTGCTGGGGGTGGTGTGGGGAAGACTTGACATTGGAATGGGGGGAGGGGCTTGTGTGTGAGAGGTCTCCACACCCTCCAGAAGGCGGTGCCAAGCAGGCAGGCGGGGCTGGCGCTCCGAGGGGAAGCTAGGCTGGCCCGGGAGGGTTTGGGGATAGATGGAGTCTCTTCTCCCTGCTGCAGATCCCCATGTCTGTCCTGGAAATCAGCTCCTCCCAGCACCCTGTCAAAGCTGGCCTATCAGACGCTTTCATGACGCTCAATACGTCCCCGGACGTTCCAGGTGAGTCCCCAGGGAGCCAGCAGAGACCTCCCCTGGGTTGGACTCAGCTCACACGGACCCAGGCTGGGGGTGGGGGTGGTGGGGAGCAGGTGGATGGGTGGAGAGTTGAGTGGGAACTGAGGGAAGAAAGGGGGCGTCGCGAGGTCCCAAGGCTTCTTCATTAAAGCAGAGAAACCATTTTCCCAATAAGAGCTCGGCAGGAGGCACTGCTCTGGTTATCGGAGGCAGATGAGCCGGGGCCCTGCCACTCAGCACCCCCCAATTTAGAGAAGCTCCAGACACCAAGTTAGGGTTACGAGTCTCCCCAGAACACAGCCATCATTGCCTCCCCACCCACCCCAGGTGATGGGAGGGACATCACAGGGGGCTCTGGGGACAGAAAATCGGGGTTCTCTCCCATCCCTTACCCCCACCCCAGTTTCCCTTTCTGAGGCAACCAGGGCCACCAGGTTATTTCTAGAGCGACGAGCCCTCAGATAAGTGTGTCCATACATTTAACACAAATGATGGTCTATGATGCCATGTTCTCCTGAACAAAGTACATTCTGCCCCCCGTTCCACGTCAGCACATTTCTCATCCTGTTCGATGGCTGAGTGATACCCACGGCATGGATGTCCTAACTTAACCAATTCCCTGTGTGCAAACTTTTCAGTTATTTCTAATCTTTTGCTGCGACAAATAATGCTGCAGTGGCCCTAGTTTGGCTCAGTGGATAGAGCGTTGGCCTGTGGACTGAAGGGTCTTGGGCACAATTCTAGTCAAGGGCATGTACCTCGGTCGCAGGCTGGAGGCAACCAATCGATGTGTTTCTCTCACATCGATGTTTCTCTCTCCGTCTCACTGTCTCTCACTCTCCCTTCCTTCTCTTAAAAATCAATGGGAAAATATCCTTGGCTGAGGATTAACAAAACATAAAAATAAAAATAATGCTGCAGTGATATTCTTGCAAGTAGGTACTTTTACGCCCCTGTGTGAGTATTCCCCTAAGATGGGTCCCCACCACTTCCCCTGCCCCTCCCCAGGGCCCCTTCCTGAACCTGTGCTCTAGCCAGCAGCTCAGCGGGGACCTGCAGGACCCTGCTCCATTGCTGCTGTCCACATCTGCTCTCACTGACCAACGCTGGTGCTGAGCTGGATGCTTAGTAGTCTCAGTATCGCCCTGGTTGTATTTGTTAGCTACAGCTGCATAACAAGTCACACCGACACATCCTGGGTTAAAGCAACAAACCCGTTATCTCAGCGTTTGTGTGGATCACGGAGCAAAGCACAGCTCAGCTGGGTCCTCAGGCTCAGGGTCTCCCCCAGGCCAGGGTGACGGTCATCCCAACCGTTGTTGGGGGAGATACACTTCCGAGCGCTTTCAGGACGTTCTCGGCAGAATCCAGCTCCCCGCTCAGTTCCTGCCCCGTGGACCGCCCCCAGGCCAGCTCCCAGCCTGGCAGCTGGCTCCCATCAGAGCAGGCAAGGCAGACAGCAGGGGCGGGCGAGTAAGATGGGAGCCAGGCCTTCTGTCACCTCCTCTTAGAAGCGCCAGCCGGTCACTCCTTGCCGCAGTCCACTGGTTGGAAGCAAGTCACGAGGCCCAGCCCACACGCGGGCCGGGAGAGTGTGAACGCCCAGAGGCCGGCTGCTTCCCATGCAGACTATAACCCCGTCCCTGGGCACTGAACCTTACAGCGTCTTACTGGGTCTGCCTCCCAACATTGGAACGAACGTACGGTAGTCCCCCCCTTATCCGTGGTTTTGCTCTTCATGGTTCCTGTTACCCACAGTCAGCCGTAGTCCAAAAATATTAAATGGAAAATTCCAGAAATAAACAAACCATCAGTTTTAAGTTGCACACCGTTCTGAGTAGCAACCATAAATCATCCCTTTGTCCAGCGTATCCACGCTGCGTACTCTCCCGCCCTTTAGTCACCTAGTAGCCGTCTCATCAGGAGATGAATGGGGGGGGGGGGGGAGTGTTAATGTGATGGACGATGACTCGACTTGGGTGGTGGGCACACAGTGCCATGCACAGATCTTGTAACATAGAAATCGAAGCCTGAAACCTATGATCCTATTAGCCAATGTCACCCGAATAAATTTAATTAAAAACAGATGAGTAGCCGTAGCCAATCTGGCTCAGTGGATAGAGCATCCACCGAGGACCAAAGGGTCCCGGGTTTGATTTTGGTCCAGGGCACGTACCTTAGTTGCAGGCTCCTCCCTGGCCTGGGCCCTGGTCAGGGCGCGTGCAGGAGGCAACCAGTTGGTGTGTGTCTCGCACATCGATGTCTCTCGCTGTCTTTCCCTCTCTCTTCCACTCCCTCTAAAACCAATGGGAAAATATCCTTGGGTGAGGATTAAAAAAAATAAATAAAAAGAAAAGATGAGTAGTAGCCTAATGCGACGTCACAATGCCTACATCATTCGCCTCCCCTCATCGAATTACGTAGGCCTTGTATCATCTCACGTCACCACAAGCAGGGTGAGTACAGGCCTACGATATTTTGAGAGAGACCACATTCACGTAACTTTTATGACAGAATATTGTTATAATTGTTCCATTTATTATCAGTTGTTGTTAATCTCTTACTGCGCCTAATTTGTAAGTGAAGCTTTATCACAGGTATGTAGGTACAGGAAAAAAGAGTATAGATAGGGGTTGGTACTCTCCACGGGGGGCCGGGGAACATATCCCCGCAGACAAGGGAGGACGACTGTATGTTTGTCCCTTTCTACATGAGGACAGAGGTTCAGAGAGGTGGAGTGACTGGCTTGTGGTCACACAGCTGTGAAAGGGAGACGTGAAAACTGGATCTTCTGGGTCCTCCCTCGAGACTTTCTGAGTCTGACCCACTTCCATTCCACCCAGAGGGGTGATCCTTTCCTCCGCAGTCCCCCAAACACCCACAGCCCCGTGTGCACACACCCCAGCCTTTTGCAGGAAGGACTGCAGTGCACACTCCCACCGCCCCGGGCATCCCTGAGCCGCTGGGCAGGATCCAGTCCGTTCGGTCTGTGTCTCCCTCACAGGGCTGTGCACGACAGAGTCTCAGGAAATGTGTGTTGGATCCAGCTGTTGAATGAGGGTGAACTAGAGGAAGTCGGATCCCCTGGGAGTGCCTGCATCTGAGGCTTCTCTGTGATTCTGGAATGAAAGGCTGTTTTAGAGCAAGCCTGGGAGATGCAGGGAG